AAATTCAAATGTGGTCTGTGAAGCATTTGTCTCAATGTGCAGGAATATCTGATAATGATAATCCTTGCATTTGATATGGCACTTGACAGGATTGATGAAGTTTTGATGGTTTGTACAACTGTATAAAAGGCCACCAATAGTGAATCCAGTTTGAATAAGATAAACAAAATATCCCATAGGTTTAGGGTTGATTCTTGCCCTCATTGTGCCTATAACATGAAAACATCTCAAAACGCTTCATAAATAATTACTGTCAGGTGTAGTACTGTAGTACACATCAGCAGTAGGAAAAAAGATAATCATTTTCACCATGGTCATGCTCCCTTACAGTGGGTGAACAATCCAAAGCTTGGTGAATTCTGCTTCACAATGATAGGAAAAGTTGACATTGAAGGATCAAAAAGCGATGTACAGTATTTTGTAGGCAAATGTGGCAATCAATTTATGCACAGCAATGTCCGACACACAGTAATGACCAATTTATCTGGAAGATTGTTGTACAGAATACCAGAAGAGATACTTTTCTTTTTCTGAATAGGCAACAACAACAACAACATTACATTTGTATAGCACCTTTCACGTCGGGAGGACATCCCAAGGCATTTCAGACCCGAGCTGGGGTTAGGGGGGATAGAAAGGATGGGAGGGGAAGGGGGGTGACCGATGGCATGGTCGAAGAGGAGGGTTTTGAGGCGGGACTTGACGGCGGTTAAGGAGGGGGCGAGGCGGAGTGATTGGGGGATGGAATTCCAGAGGTTGGGGTCAGAGTGACTGAAGGCTCTCTCGCCAATGGTGGGGCGGGTGAATCGGGGGACGCGGAGCAGACCAGAGCCGGCTGAGCAGAGGGAACGGGCGAGTTGGTAGGAGGTTAGGAGATCACAGAGGTAGGGTGGGGCAAAGCCACGGAGGGCTTTCTAGGTGAGGACCAGAATCTTGAACTGGATCCTCTGAAGGATAGGGAGCCAATGGAGTCAGGCGAGAGTGGGGGAGATGGGGGGTCACGGAGTTTGGTGCGGGAGAGGACACGAGCTGCATAGTTCTGGATTATCTGCAGCCTGTGGAGGGAGGAGTTGGGAAGGTTGACAAACAGGGCATTTGCATATTCGAGCCTGGAGCTGATGAAGGCATGAACAAGAGTTTCAGTGACATAAGGGGTGAGGTAGTGGCAGAGTCGGGCGATGATATGGAGGTGAGGGAAGGCAGAGCGTGTCATGGCTTGGATGTGGGGAAGAAAGGACAGTTGAGGGTCGAACAAGACATCTAGGTTCCTGACTGGTTTGGTGAGTTGAAGTGTGCAGCCATGGAGGTAGATGCTGCCAGAGCCTGAATAGAGTTATGGATCTTCAATCTTCACCTGAACAGGCAGACAGGACCTCAATTTCGACATCTTGTCCAAAGGATGACACCTCCAACAATGTAGTGCAGCTTGGATATTGAGCTCAAATCATAACCCTCTTTACCCCATTACCAAATTAGCCAATGAATCAACCAAAAGTGTTGGGGAACTGCTTGAAATGAGTTGCTTGAAAATGAGATATTGCAGATCATTCAGAACTCTGCAGCTCGTGTACTGTCCCGCACCAGGCTTCGGGACCACATCACTCCCACCCTCGCTCGCCTCCACTGGCTCCCCATCCCCCAGAGGATTGATTTCAAGATCCTCATCCTCACCTACAAGGCCATTCACGGCCTTGCTCCCTCCTACCTCTCCAACCTACTCCACCTACCTACCTGCCCGTACCCTCCGTTCCTCCGGCTCTGGTCTGCTCCACGTCCCCCGCCCCAATTGCCCTACCATCGGTGGTCGGGCCTTCAGCCTCTCAGCCCCTAGAAACTCTATCCCCCAGTGCCTTCGCCTTGCTTCCTCCCTCTCCTCCTTCAAGGCCGGTCTCAAAACCTTTCTCTTTGACCGAGCCTTCAGCTCCCCTCTCGACTCTCTTCCCCCTCCTCGCTCCCTCCCTTCCCTCCCCTCACCCTGACCATTTCCCCCCTCCTCGCTCCCTCCCTTCCCTCCCCTCACCCTGACCATTCCCCCCCTGCTCGGGTCATGACCCAACTGTGCAGCACCTTGGGACGTCCTCCTGACGTGAAAGGCGCTTTATAAATGGAATCTTGTTGTTGTTGTTGTTGTTGCAGAAAGCAGCAGTTTTCCTTTTTGACTGGGATAATCCCAATGTTCCAATCGAACATCCCAACAAAGATATTTTGAGAATGGACAGTATTGTAGCATAACATTTGTTATACTATGATTTCCTAGCTTTTCATGCCTTGTTTATAGTGTGATTTCCTGCTTGTAAGCAAATCACTATTTCGAATGTACTTGATGCATGATAGACTCAGCAATTGGTAAATTATCTTGTAAAACAGTTTGACCAGATTATTGAAGAGGCAGACCAATAATGACTGTCGGGAAGCATATCATTGCATTTGATGTTAGAGTTTTACTTTTCCATTCTTAGTTAATATTAAAGTGAAGGTAACATGATAGGATATTGAGTGCAATAAATATAGGATGAATTTGTAAAATCAGTCAAAATGGAGGCCAAATAGGAGTTTTCTGAGGAAGATAACTCAAATTTGGATCAGTGGCTTGGTTTTACATGTTGCAAAACTGGATATTTTACCCTTTCGTTTATAGCACAAATGTCATCTTTTCTACTGCACTATTTGAACAATAAAATAAAATACTGAACCTCCCATTGCAATCTTTGATCGATGAATACCACATTGTAAGATTCAATTTCCTACTTGCCTCCTCCAGTTTGGGGCCAAAGGAAAATCTATACACGCGCATTGTGTATGGATTATTTATTTTTTTAACATGCAATGCAAAAGGAACCACACTATCAAGTAAATGAAAGGAATCGTACATCATTATTGGGAGTGCATTTTTAAATTAAGGTTTTTTTTATTAGGTTCTGAATCCTCATAAACACAAAATGCATTGTATCTGGAGTTCAAATCAGTCAACCAAAATTACTGTAACTTTAAATTTCATTACTTGGGTGAAAATAGCAAGGAAATGCAATGAAATCGCATTCTGTTTTTTTTTGGTTTGGTTGGTTTTGCTTCCACTATTATTAATCATTATTTTTCCTGCTCTTGTGAACAGAATCTTACTGTAAGTGAGCTATTCTCAATTCAGTTGTATATTTACAGTAAATAAACTTGTTTCTTTTCTCTTTGAAATGTATTATTGCTGCTCTTTTTCATTTGGTAATGAAACATTAACGATAACTAGTCATGACTTTAACAACCTAAATCTCTCTCGAATGCAATTTGTCTAAAAATGTAACTTGTCTATTTAGATGTCTACAATCTCATGGGTGATTTTATTTCCCATTCAAGGCAAATAATTCTATCTTAAATAGTTTTTGATTTTCTGAAAAAGTTGAAAATTAAATTTAAGGAACAACCTCTGCTGCTAAAATGTGATTTAATGTAGAAAGGTTGAAAGATCAAGTTTCATATAACAGTATCTTTAGATGAAATTCATCTAAACTTCTTGGTAAGTAATGGGGAGGGAATCAAAAGTATAATGTTACTTTCCGCAAAGCCTGATAGCAATTTCTAATGCATAACCGTAAACCCATGACTGCAAATAATGGAGATTCATTGTCTGCTAGAGTTAGTCATTCTCAATTAATTGACTAGTGAAAAAGGATTCAGTGACGTTATTTAAACAATGGCCCTGGGTCATGACACGAACGGCTTACAGACAACATCAAGAAATTGCTTGTCAGAATAATCTTCCACCCGAGACCAAAAGACCTATTAGAAGGTGGTGTTGATATTTCCCTGTTAGTAGTTTTATTAACTCAATCCTTGCCTATAAGGATACCAGATGTAAACTAAGCCTAAGACTGTCCTGCCAAAAAAGCTATGTCGCACTTGAATACAAGTAGCTTTTTTTTAATGGCTCAGTGAATAAATGCATCTTGTGGAGTAGTCATGAATCTTGAAGACCAGGATCCTGAACTGTGCTGAATTAGTTGATCTCATTCAGGGTAGTGATGGAGGATTATCGATTAGCCTCAATGTTCCCTATGTAAAGAGGGGGCAAAATAGCCAGGATACCTACTCCTGATCATTAGCCAGTAGTATCTGATGGAAATTATTGTGCAATACGCAAGGAAAGCCTCCTGCAATTGAAGGACCAGTCATCAGTTCCTGAGCTCAAACATCAAGAATGGTCTTACATCAACAACAACAACAAATTACATTTGTATAGAGCCTTTTAATAATAATAATAATAATCCTTGCATTTGATATAGCGCTTTTCACGTCAGGAGGACGTCCCAAAGCGCTTATATGTCGGGAAGATGTCCCAAGGCACTGGACAATCAGGAATTTAGACCCAATCAGGGGATTGGGATTGGGGGGTGGGTGGAGGACAGGGAGGGTAGGAGAGTGGCCAAAGAAGCCGTCGAGGAGGAGGGTCTTGAGACATGTTTGAAGGAAGCAAGGGAAGGAACAAGGTGAAGGGACTGCAGGATGGAGTTCCAAAGTGTGGGGGCAGAGAAGTTTAAGACATGACACCAATGGTGAGGCAGGCTGGGCATGGGGTTATGGAGCATATGTGGTTAGCAGGTTGGAGAGGTAGAAAGGGCAAGACCCTGGAAGACCTTGAAGGTGAGGCTGAGAACCTTTGAACTCGATCCTCCGAGGGATGGGGAGCCAGTAGAGCTGGTCGAGGGTGGGTGTGATGGGGTCACGGAGAGGACATGAGCTGCAGAGCTCTGGATGACCTGCAGCTTGTGGAGGGAAGAGTTTGGAAGGCCAACAAACAGGGAGTTGGCGTAGTCAAGCCTTGATGTGATGAATGTGTGGATGAAAGTTTCGGCGCCCTGGGGGGTGAGGCAGTGGCAGGGCCGGGCGATGTTGTGGAGGTGGCAGAGCAGGTCACGGTACGGATGTGGGATAGAAAAGCAGTTAAGAGTCAAACATGATGCCAAGGTTCTGGACTGGCTCAGTGAGGTGGAGTGTGCATCCCTGGATGGTGATGCTGTCAATGCCTGACATGTGGATGCGCTGACAGGAGCCAATCAGGATGGCCTTGGCCTTGGTGGCATCAAGAATCTAGATAAGGCGCTGATGGGCGTCCGATATCCGTAGAGCCTTTTCTTTCAGGTAAGGAGACTGTTAGAGAAAAAATAAATCCACATTTAAAACAAAAGGAGGAATCACTTAGCTCATCAGACAGCAATTAATAGCTGTGCTCTACATTCAGTGTGACATTTAATTGAAGTACATTAATTAGCTCATGGGCTAATTAATCATTGTCATAGTTGTAGATCTTTAGATGATCATTTTTGTAAAACAAAGACAGTCCATATGCAGTGCTTTTCTCCTCCCCCAACCTTTTTTCCCTTTGCCGCTTTATCATTTAAGTACAATCACTAGCATTGGTAAATTGTGTCAATAATCCTTGCATTTGATATTGTGCGTTATCATGTCATCAAAACATTTCAAAGCATTTCACAGGATTCATAGTAAAGTTTTATGACTGTGTATTTGTAAGTAAAATGTGGCAGCCAATTTGTGCTCAGCAGTGACCCACAAATATCCATGAAGTGAATGACCAATTTATTTGGGGATTGTTGGTCAGGACAGTGGGTGAAACTCTATTCTCCTTTTGAATAGAGCCATGGGATTTTTTAATTGGATATGAAAAGGCAGGTGGGGCCTTGGCCCAAGTATAACAAAAAAACAATAATAAATTGGTGATTTTCAATCTACGACTGTTTGTGGGACATTGCTGTGCGCAATTGGCTGCCGCGTCCGCCCACAAATATACAGTCAATTCACTTTACAGTATATTCTGTGAAGCGCTTTGAGACATCTAGAAGACATGAAAAGTGCTATATCAAATGCAAGGATTATTATTATTATTATTATATATTTTAGTGCTGGGAGATGTTACCCCGCATGAAGGCACTATATAAATGCAAGGTGTTGTTGTTGGAGTGGCAGCCAAGAATATGAGTTCAAAGATCTGATGTGGTCTTGAATCAACAACCTTCTGATATAAAATCATAACTGAGCCAGGCAGACACCAAAGTACAGCAGTAGCGAACATTTGGCTATTTACCTATGTAGCCAATCTTTATCCGGTATTAAATAGAAATCACTGGGAAAACTCAGCAGGTCAGGCAGTATCTATGGAGAAAGGAAAATGAGTCAACGTTTTGGGTCCATAACCCTTCGTCACAACACGACCCTTCTGACGTATCCTGGTGGCCACAAACTTGTTTGGGCGAGATTTGGATATTAAATGAGTGAACACTGTGTTCAACTACAACATGCCTGAAGATTTTGACACATACTTGCATCGGGTTCCTCGAGCCGGTGGCCATCACTTTTGTCTCGGACGAAATGAATGCCAAGGTGCTGAACGATATGTAGGATCACTTCGAGGTGAACGTGGCTGAGCTGCCTTACGAAATCGACATTTCCACGTACATTGAACAGTGCCAATGAGCTGGGACACCCGGAGAAATTGGTCAGAACACGACCCTTCTGATGAAGGGTCGGATGAAGGATCATGTTCTGATGAAAGGTCGTAGACCCAAAACGTTGACTCACTTTCCTTTCTCCATAGATGCTGCCTGACCTGTTGAGTGTTCCCAGCGACTTCTGTTTTTGTTTCAGATTTTCAGCATTTGCAGTATTTTGTGTTTTCTTCATCTGGTATTGTTGTTAGGCTGTTCAACCAAAGAAGTCAACCATAGAAACCATCAGATGTAAGTCTCATCCTCTCCTCACAAGACATTTACAGCTGCCATCTATAGAGTATAGGTTGTATTTTGAAAATTGTTGTTTTATTCTTTGTTATCTGAATGAATATCACATTCAGCGCCTTAGGTTTTGTTTATAGACTAAGGCATATTTCACTCTGTACAGAGAACAATAGTACAAAATCATTATCGGTACAAATACACATAGGCCCACTTGTTGGATTTTTTTGCGCTGATATCCTGCCCTTATTCATGTGTGAGTTCAAACATTAAGATGCAGTGGGATCTTTGACTATAGAGTACATCGCAACCAAACTCAATTCTGACATCCACACGTGTGCATTTTCTAGGAAAGGTTGATTAGGTTACTTAAAAAGCAGTTTGATGCTGTAATGGGAAAGATGATAAGGTGGGTATTCTGGAAGAATTAAATAAGATGGCCTGAAGGGACTTCTTCATCCGAACTGATCTAGATGCTAAATGTTGGGTCTCTGGAACAGGATCCCTAGTTTTGTTTAATTCCCTTTAGCCTAGGGTTACTGGGCCCAATTACAATATCTCCACTACTCCCTTGGGTGATATTGTCTCACTCAACAGGAATTGTATTATCTATTTCATTTTAAAATGCATGAGAAACAGAAATAATAACCTAAGCCAGCAATAAAATGTGTTCATCATTTGTGTGGGTGGTTACAGTCATTTACCCTGTGTAATTTCAACAAACAATTGATATTAAAATATTTAGCAATGGCACAACACAAGGACATCCTTTCAGCATGATGCAATTAGCATATGCTAAGTAGTGACAAGCTAGATTTTTCTTTTCTTTATTATATACCCTGGATTGCCCTCACTGTGATTGTAGGGGGTAATTTTAATTAGTCCTCATGATTTATACTCCCATAGGCTCACTGTCAGTTTTGAAATGTCTCCATGAATTAATTTTCCTTTAAAGAGTGATTTGCTGATTTTCTGACACCTCTTGAAGTCTACAGAGCACTGAACTGATTATTTTCACCATGGCAAATTCATTTCGAGCCCACTTTGACCTTTTTGTTTCCACAGAACATCACTGACTGCTTTATTAATTATATGCTGATATACTTTGGATGAGTTTAATTGCTCTCCTTCTGCGAGATGATTTGAAATGATGCACTAGTTACTATATTTAGTCTTTCATAGTTCTTACATTTTTCCAAGCCATTAATAAATGTTTAATACAGCATACAGGCAGTGCTCTTGTCCGTCTTGAAGATGTGAATCTGGGCTTCCTTTTTTTATTTCTCATGAGATATTTCTTGGATCTCTAGCTTTAAATCTTCATTCTTCACGTATCAAGATTCCCTTTTAATGTTACTTTATTGGGAGTTTTTCAGATAGTGCATTTTTTGTTGTTGGGCAATCTTACTTGACAACAAACACTTGAAGCTGATTTGGGAGGGAATATAATAATCCTTATTAATAATAATCCTTGCATTTGATAATGGACGATTCATGTTAGGAGGATGTCTCAAAGCAGGTTATAGGGATTCATTGTATTTTCTTGGCAAATGTGGCAGCCAATTTGTGCACACCAATGTCCCACAAACATCCATGAAGTGAATGACTCATTGTATCTGGGGGATTGTTGGCCAGGACCCCTGGAGAAACTCTTTCCTCTTTTTGAGTCATGCCATGGGATCTTTAACATTCACCTGAACAGCTAGACAGGACCTCAATTAAAGCCTCATCTGAAGGATGGCACCCTCATCAATATGGCAATGATTCCCCCAGCACTGCATTGGAGTGTCAGCTTATACTATGGGAAGTCAAAGTCTCAAAGTAGGACTTGAACCTACTGCCTTCTGACTCAGAGGCGAGAGTCAGCTAAAACCTAATCGTTGCATTTGATATTTGCATCTTATCTCATCAAAACTCTGTAAAGTGCAGTGACTATGAGAATTATCAACAACAACGAATTACATTTGTATAGCGCCTTTCACGTCAGGAGAACATCCCAAGTCTCTGAGGATGTCCATTGATTTTAATCACGTTGATTAAAATTGTAGTTAAATCTGTTAGATTGTAGGCGATTGTTAATAGATGAATGCAGCAGGCAATTTACATACAGCAATGTCCCACAAAGAGCCATGAAGTCAATAACCATTTTTTTATCAAAAGATCTGGTGGTTGTGTTTTTTCCTTTTGAGTTGTGCTATGGGATCATGAACATTTACCCGAACAGGCAGGTGGAGCCTCTGTTTAACATCTCATCCGAATGGCATCAATTCAGCACACCCAAAGCTCAAAGTTACAATGTAGGACTTGAATCCACTTCAATTGACTCAGAGTGCTGTCAAATGCGCAAGTCTGAAACATTATGTGCCTAAGTTTCATTATTCCCGAAGGTCTCTATGTCCCTCAGGGTGAAATATACCGATAAGCGAGATAATAAGTCTATTGGATTTGTTAATGTAACAAGTGTTGCCATGGAAACAGAACCTGCAGAGGGGTGAGAAGATGGAGTTACTGAGTCATGGATAGAGATGTTGAGTTGGTGCACTGACAAACTGTGCCATCATGTGGTACAACTCAGGCTCACACCTCAGTCTACCAACTTTGGGAGTACATCATTTCAATTTACAGCACCCTTTACTAGTGGCTGCTTAAAGAATACCATTTTCAGCACTGTCATGACACTTGGAGGCGTGTGCCATAAGGGATCACATGTCAGAGCTAAAAATGACAGAAAGTATGCCTTTTTGAAACATAAAAAGACAAAAATCATCCTTTTCTCGAGTGTAATGTTTCCAGTTTGTAGCACTGATGGTGAGTTTCCAAGTTTTTTTAAAAATAGAATTTGATAAATGTTTGATGAATCAAAATAAAAAAAGATAAAGGGCAAAGAGAGGAAAATAGAAAAAAAAATACATGAGAGAGCTGGTAATGTACAAGTCTGATGATAAATATAATCCTTGCATTTGATACAGCACCTTTCATATAAGGAGGATGTCTCCAAGCACATCATAGGATATACTGTGAAGTGGAGTGACTGTTGTAGGCAAACACTGCGGCTAATTTGCTCACAGGAATTTCCCACAAACAGCCATTCAGTGAATGACTAATTTTATTTGAGGAATTGTTGGCCACAACATCGGGAGAAACTCCTTTCTCTTTTTGAATAGTGCCATGGGATCATTAACATCCACCTGACTCAGAAGACAGAATGCTACCAGGGGATACCCCAATGGATCAGGAGGGAAAAATCCTTTCAGATTATGCTTTTGTTCCATTCCGATCAAAAATAATAATATTTTGAATCAATTATGTTTCAGATTGACTGGCACAATGCTAATAGGCGAGTTACATTAAACAATCTGATAGTTGGAATCTGAACTGAATTTGCCTTCATTCTGAACTCAGCTCGGGTGCTCATTCCAGATCACCAGCAGGTTAAATTGTCCCAAGGCTGTGTGCATGAGACGTTTCCACATATGAATCAAAATTCTAATTTTGGCATCTGTTGTATCTGTCTAGGATGATGCTGTATCAAGTCTAATTGTCAAATTGGGAACATATTATCTGAATTCATTTTTATTCCCAACTCAAATAAGTTTTAAATTTGTTTGTAAAATCCATTAAACATACCAGCAAAGCAGCAGAGGCAGGTGCTAAATAAGAATCTTCTGAAGTGTTCTGCAATGTGCCATCACGAAGCACGTCAGGGGGGAAATGGAGTTGATGGAGTGATTCATTGCTCTGAGGCCACTTGTATAAATGTTTGTACATTGGCAGTCTCTCTAGATAAGGTAGGGGCTGCTGTCTGGTCTCACCAGAGCCAACTCCATTCTTGCACCGGAGAGAGAAAGATAAAAGGAGACTGTATGCAGAAAGTGAAAATCATTATATTATAAAAATGATAACCATTTATGGTACAAAACAGATCCGTATAGCACAACATTCAAAATTAGCTCTGAATCAGATAAATCTTCCTTTGTGCCATTATCTTTGCTTTCTACCAACTGCAGAATACCTGTAGAGTATTGGTTTGAGCACTCACCTTGCAAACGAGAGGACTCGGATACAATTCTTGGGCACGGCGAAATGTTACTTACCCCACACGCCTCTGTTTATCTAGCAGTAAGCAGTAACCTGGTTATTAGTCGATTGGCGGATTGCTTTTCCAGGGATAATAATCTCATATAAAATATAATAATAATAATTTGATCACTCAATTCATGACTGTGTTTGGGACCCTGCTGTCAATTTGCTTTACGGGATATTCTGTGAAGCGCTTTGAAACGTTTTGAAGACGTGATAAGGCGCTATATCAAATGCAAGGATTATTATTATTATTAATATTATTATTATGTGTAAATACATCCCCAGCCAGCTATTACATGGAGCTTCAATTTAGGCAGTAACCCACCATGTGTGTCGGACAGTATCACGTAGAGGAGCTGAATCTAGTAAAGGCTGAAGTCTGCCGTTATTGTGGCTGATCACAGAATTTGATTACCGGAATCTGGTGAAGCATCACTCAAATACTGCGTTCTACATTTGGCAACAATGATGGGTACTGAATACTTTGACCAGATTCGGTCCCAAATATAGTGTTGAAGTCTGAAGGGGAACAGCTGGGGGAACACCCCTGCAGCTGGGTGATGAGTATTGCCTATAAAGGACACAGTCACTACACTTTATAATAAATCCTGTAAAGGCATCCTCTTGAAGTAAAGTTGTATCAAATGCAAGGAGTATTATTGTTTTGTTGAGAGTTTTGACAACTATTTTAATCAATGTGATAATTCTCACACCAAATGTGTTACTTTCACCCCCAAAGATACTCACAAATCTTCACTGAATATTATACATTCACACTGTATGAGAGTAGTGAAACACAGCATTTGCCCACAAAACACACAATCACACCACCTTTAAGTATATCTTGTGAAGCACTTTGAGACGTATCGATGATATAAGGCGCTATATCAAATGCAAGGATTATTAACTGATTTTGTTCTGGGTTTGTGTGTGAATAGATTCTGTTGCCAAAGGTGTGTGAGGATTGGCCCTTTCTGTCCTACAGCAAGATCAATATAGTCACCAGATGCAGAGGGAAAAAACTGTCCTTTTCTCCTCCACTTTCAAATGTCATTGCAGTGCTCAGCAAAATTAATGTAAAACGTTTGACTCACAGAACATTCCAGGAACGTAGCTGTTAAGGCAATCATTTTATATCTCCACAGCTGTGGGTCAGGGTTCCAGTACAGGCTAATGTTTCATCAGATTTACTTCCATATAAGGTGACTTTAGACCCTTTAGACAAGTGAAGTAATATGCTGGAAAAAAAGGACAAAATACTGCAGGTGCTGGAAATCTGAAATAAAAACAGAAGTCACTGAGAACACTCAGCACTTATATTTGGGTGTGTTATTAATAACAGACGCAAACACGTGGAGTCCTGTAGCTTAGTGGTTAGAGCACTCGTCTTGCAAGCAAGAGGACTTGGGTTCGATTCCAGGGCAGGACGAAACTTTGGGCATATTTCCTTACTCCACACACCTCTGTTCACCTAGAGTAAGTAGAGTAAGTAGGAATCCAGTTATTAGTCGACTGGCGAATTGTTTTTCCAGGGGTAATAAACCCTTCAAAAATTAAATAAATAAAATTTAAAAAAATAATAATTTGATCACTCAATCCACAACTGTTTGTAGGACACTGCTGTTGTGGAATTGGCTACTGCATTTACCCCCAAAAAATATACAGTCAATTCACTTTCCAGCATATTCTGTGAAGCACTTTGAGATGTCTCGAAGATATGATAAGATGTGTCATTAGATATAGTGCCTTTCACATTGGGAAGTGTAGCAACTCTGTATTTTGTGGACAAATCCCTACAAATGGACTAGGGACTAGAGCTCAATAATTCACAATAGTATTAGCCCATTGTGTAGCACTGTTACCATTGGATTAGAAGGTTGTATGTTCAAGATTTATATTGGGATAGAGGTGTAAGCCTGGCTCAGTGGGTAGGATTCTTATCTCTGAGTCAGAGGATTGTGGATTCAAGTCCCATGTCATGACTTTGAGCTCATAGTGTAAGCTAACACTCCAATTCAGTGCAGGGGATTGCTGTAGCTCAGTGGTTAGAGCACTCGCCTCGCAAGCGAGAGACCTGAGTTCAATTCCAGGCAGGGCGAAACCTTGGGCGAGTTTCCTTACTCCACACAGAGCCTAATAATAATCCCTCCAAAACCAAAAACAATAATAAAATTGGTTATTTTCAATCTACGACTCTTTGTGGGACATTACTGTGCGCAATTGGCTGCCGCGTTCGCCCACAAATATACAGTCAATTCACTTTACAATGTGTTCTGTGAAGCGCTTTGGGACGTCCTCCCGACGTGAAAAGCGCTATATCAAATGCAAGGATTATTATTATTATTATTATTATTATTATTATTATTATTGTCAGTGGATGAGATGTTAAACCAAGGTCCCATTTACCTGTTCCGGTGGACTTTAAAGATCCCATGGCACTATTCGAGAAGGGAGTATCTCCCAGTGTGCTGGCCAACAATCCCCATATAAAATTGGTCATTCACTTCATGCCTGTTTATGGGACATCCAGAGTGCAAATTGACTGCCATTTTGCCTACAAATATAGTCACACCATTCACAGTAAAATCCTGTGAAGTGATTTGAGACATTTTGAAAGCATTATGTCAAATGCAAGTATTATTATTAGAGGACAATCCCAGGACAATCCACTGCAATGCTAGAGGAGTGCTGCAATGTTGGAGGTGGTTAGAAGAGACGTAAAACCAGGGTGTTGGCTGTCTGTTCAGGTGGTCTTCAAAAAGAGAAGAAAGTTTCTCATGAGGTGGCCAACAGTTCACCAGGTATCAGTCTGGCTCAATTAGTAGCACTCTCACCTCTGAGCCAGAGGTTTTGGGTTCAGCACCCATGCTGGGACTTTGAACTCATAATCTAGGCTGACACTTTAGTGTATTCCTGAGGAGTGATTCATTGTCAGAGATGACATCCTTCAGATAAGATGTGTGTCAGGCTGCCTCAGTGAGCTTCACTATTGCCTCTGAGTTTGAAGGTTGTGGGTTCAGGCCTCACATCGGGACTTGGAACTCATATAGTCTAGGATGACACTCCAGTGTAGTACTGGTAGTGTGCTGCATTTGTCTTAGATGCCAGCCTTCGCATGAAACATTAAATCAAGACCCACCTGTTCAGATGGACGTTAAAGAGCTCATAATATTATTTGAAGAACAGAGTTTCTCCCTTTTGTCCTGACCAATAATCCCTCAAATAGAATTGGTCACTTCATAGCTGTGTGGGGGTCATTGCTGTGTGAAAATTGCCTGTTCAGGTAGATATTTAACATCCTGCAGAACTATTGGAAAAGAAAAGTTTTCCTTAATGGCTTGGTCAAAAAATTACCAAATACAACTCATCATTCACTTCATGGCTGTTTGTTCAACATTGCTGTGTGTAAATTGGCTTCCTCATTTACCTCCAAATTATGGTTAGTTCTGTTTTATTTTAGATACAGTGTAAATTGTGGTGCAAATAATACAGTGCAAATTAAACACTGGGTCAGTGAACAAAAAATGGATGGTGAGGTCACCACTGACTTCACTTTGGGCTTCTGGCATGAGTTGGCCTGCTCCCTATGTGCAGCATAGTACTTTACACATGGCAACTGCATGTTTACAGGACACTTGAAAATCGCACTTAAGCACAGCAATTTGTAACAGGATCTCCTGTACGTTTAAATCATTAAGTAAGCTTCTCACAGAGAGAATAGATAGAAATGCCAAGTCTTGCTGCACAAGATACTCTCCCATACTGCATGTACCTTGCGAACTTTGGCCAATCTCCAGATGAAATGGTCAAATACCTTGTGCCTGTTTATGGGACTTTGTTGGCATAATTGATTGTCACATTGCATACAAAAACAGCCATTACACTCGACAGTAATTTCTAGTGAAGTGCTTTGAGATCTTTCAATGCTATAAGAATGCAAGTTCTTCTATCTAAATCATTACTAATAGACAACATGACACTCTACTCATTTTTTTTTAATTTTGGTATTACAGATCCTTAGGGAGTTTACCAAGGGAAAACAGGGGAGCATAAAATTATGTTGCAAATCATTCTGTGTAAAATGAGCTATCAGCAGATGTGACTGAGTAATTACAGCTTCCGCTTGCAGACAGTCTCAATTATTGTTATTATATTAGTGCGGAACCATAAAGGCAATGGCAATGGTTGAATGCTTGCTGCTCCTCTCATAGAATTTGGATACCATTTCTTTTTAAAATAAACTTTGATTTAAACGTTTCGCTTTGAGATCAGCTACGTCCTCTGCGTGTTTGAACTAATTCACGTAATGACTTTTTTAATGATCTCCAGAGCCTGACTGCATGGACACTGTCAGAATCAGTGTGATGTTAATGGAAAAATTATGCTCGTGTTACAGTTTTATGCAATTATAACGTTTCCTATTTTAACTGAAATGTCCGTTTTGATATGCAAATTTGCTTTTTAAAATCCGCTGTATTGCTGATACCATTTTGTTCCGCTCTGATGGGGAAAGGTTAATAATAACACAAGGTATAAGGAAGGTTTGGAACTACTGCCTTCCAGCAATATATTAATATGTTAACAATCTTAAAAAAAATGAAGTAAGTTCGCAGACTTTGTTTGACCATGAACAAGTCTTTTACAGTCAATGCAGAACTTCAATGTCTTGTTTGACCCCCAACTATCCTTCAAATCCTACACCTGGTTTCTCAGTAGCTTTCCTTTCCTTCATCTCCACAACATTGCCAGCCTGTGTCATGACCTTCCCCTGTAGGA